ACAGTGCTCCAGGGAGCACTGGTGACCATTCCTCCTCCGACAGTGCTCCAGGGGGCACTGGTGACCATTCCTCCTCCCACAGTGCTCCAGGGAGCGCTGGTGACCATTCCTCCTCCCACAGTGCTCCAGGGAGCACTGGTGATCATTCCTCCTCCCACAGTGCTCCAGGGGGCACTGGTGACCATTCCTCCTCTGACAGTGCTCCAGGGAGCACTGGTGATCATTCCTCCTCCCACAGTGCTCCAGGGGGCACTGGTGACCATTTCTGCTCTGACAGTGCTCCAGGGGGCACTGGTGACCATTCCTCCTCCCACAGTGCTCCAGGGAGCACTGGTGACCATTCCTCCTCCCACAGTGCTCCAGGGGGCATTGGTGACCATTCCTCCTCTGACAGTGCTCCAGGGGGCACTGGCGACCATTTCTGCTCTGACAGTGCTCCAGGGAGCACTGGTGACCATTCCTCCTCCCACAGTGCTCCAGGGAGCACTGGTGACCATTCCTCCTCCCACAGTGCTCCAGGGAGCACTGGTGACCATTCCTTCTCCCCAGGTGCTCCAGGGAGCACTGGTGACCATTCCTCCTCCCACAGTGCCCAGGGAGCACTGGTGACCATTCCTCCTCTGACAGTGCTCCAGGGAGCACTGGTGACCATTCCACCTCTGACAGTGCTCCAGGGAGCACTGGTGACCATTCCTCCTCCCACAGTGCTCCAGGGAGCACTGGTGACCATTCCTCCTCCCACAGTGCTCCAGGGAGCACTGGTGACCATTCCTCCTCTGACAGTGCTCCAGGGAGCACTGGTGACCATTCCTCCTCTGACAGTGCTCCAGGGAGCACTGGTGATCTGACAGTGCTCCAGGGAGCACTGGTGACCATTCCTCCTCCCACAGTGCTCCAGGGGGCACTGGTGACCATTCCTCCTCCCACAGTGCTCCAGGTTGCATTGGTGATGGGGGGGCTCAGCCCTCAGCAGCTCTATCAGACTCCTCTCTAGGGCTCTGAACTTCCTGTCCATCCCAACTCTGAACAAGAACCTAAGAGAAGGGTGCCAGCTGCCTCCCTGTCCCGGGCCTGCTCCTGGGCAGTGTGGCTGCCGGGTGTGGGGCTAGGAGGAGAGCCATTGCAGAAACACATGGGCCAGCTCCAGCCCCCAAGCTGCGGCCTGTGTAGGCTTCCACCCTGCCGGCCGAGATGGTGACCCCAGGCTACCCCCCACACTCCCAAGGCCATCTGACTCCGTTACCTCGATGGCTTCGGCTGCAGACGGCCGCTCTTGGGCACAGCGTCTGGCCATGTCCAGCAGGAGGCTCTTGAGCCTGCGTGTCAGGGCCAGTTTGTGGTTGCGGGGGATGCTGAACTTGGCTGCCGTCCACAGGACAGCAGCCACGCAGTACACGGAGGCCTGGGTAGCACAGGAGAGGAGGAGGGAGCGCTGAGGGACTGGTGGAGCCAGGCCGACCAGCAGACCCGCTCCCCCCTGAGCCTCCTGCCTGGACACCACCCCAGCTAGCCACCCATGCGGTCCTTGGGATCTGCACACTTAACAAGAGCCCTCACTCGGTTCAGCTCAGGGACTGGACACTCCAAAGTCCACCTGGAAGTTCCACCTCTTTTCTCACAGGCAGCGGTGGCTCACACACCGCCGAACCCAGCACTGCTCGGCTGGACCTCCTCCCAAGCAGTGGTTTGCTGCCCTGCAGCTAGCCACCGGCTCTCAGGACGGGTGCAGTGTGTGCACAGAGCAGGCCCGGTGTCTGCTGGGGTGGGCCTGCAGCCAGCCCATGGTTAAGGTGCTCTTTTCTGAGTGCCACAGGCCGAGGTTTGCTCCGGTGGCTCTGCTCGGTTCTGAACAGCTGTGTTCCACCGGCAGCAATCTGCAGGGTGACGTGGATGCGGGTGACATTTTGATGCACTGGAGTGTCACCACGAGTGACGTCATTGCTGAACAGGTGAGTGCTGGCTCCTGGGCTGTTCACAGTGCAGCAGCTACGGTCAACATGCTTAAGTTGTCTTCCTCAATTTTTCTTCCTGACTTTGTTAAGCTTGGATGATCAACAAAATATTAATTTGCTGATTTCTACTGCACAAATGCCCCACACATGCTGATTTCCATTCTCTTTTTGTTTTGTTTGAAGGATCTTAATTTTTTTCCAATTCTCTCCTGCCCCCTAATTTATTTATTATTGTTTTAGAGGTAATACACAGCAGCCTGACTTCCATTCTTGAGGATGCAGAGAATGAGCTGTTGGGAAAAAGCATCCGTGGGTGGCCCAAGCCGATCAGAACACGGTCCCTTCCGAGTACTCACTTAGCTTTTCGTGTCTCGGATGCTCAAGGCTGCCACAGAATTGAAATAGACCTGTTCCCCTTTTCCCAGCACCACACAGATGACATCTTGCAATAAACCACATGTGGTCAGTTTTAAAGTTTGATCAGCTCTAGTCTCCCAGCTTTCCCTCTGTGGAAAGTTATTGAGCTTCTGAGGTCCAGGAAACGTTTCTCTTACCCTTTGCCTGAAGAACTTCGCTCATCAGCATTGTCCCATAATGCTGCTCTAGCAATACATCTAAGGATTTTCGTGTGCTGGAGATGGAGTCCAGGGCCTCGCACATGCTAGGCAGATGCTCTACCACTGGGCTATAGCACATATGTATATGGGCTATACGTATATATATATGTATATATATATTCATTCTTTGGCTATAAATGTCTCAACATTTTAAGTTGTGCCCACATGCTTTTTATTAGCATATGGAATGTTTCTCTGGCATCCTGTGGCCTTGTGAAAGTCTGTTGTAACTTCTGGGAGCTTCCTTGGGTTTTCTTTAGACACAGCAGGCCATCGATGTGACCTACAGCCGTGTCTTCTGTCCCTATCTTTATGCTGTGCTGTGGCTAGACCTCCAGGAGTTCTGAGTGAGGGTGGGGATGGGAGGGGCCCCGGCCTTGATGGGTCTGGGGGGGAAGCATTTCTACACAAGTTGTAGGCTTCTTACTGTGTGCTTTTTATCAAGTTGAGAAAAGTTCTTCTATTGTTGTTTTTTAAAAACATGAATAGGTGTCAATTTTTTTGTCAGTCCTGGGGCTTGAACTCAGGGACTGGGCACTGTCCCTGAGCTTCTTTTGCTTAAGGCTAGCACTCTACCACTAAGCCACATTCCCAGCCCAGATGTCAAATTTTTTCAATGCCTTTTCTGCATTAATTAAGAAGATGGTTGGATTTTTCTTCTTTCAACCAGTTTATGTGTTAGACTATAATGGTTTTCAAGTGTTGAATCAGATTCACACCCTTGGAGTAAATCATGCACTGTTATGGCGTGTGTACACACACACACACACACACACACTGTGTGTGTATGTGTGTGTATATATATATATATATATATATATATATATATATATATACACTGCAGAATTCCATCTGCATGTATTTAAGGCCTCTGTCTTCTCATTCGTGAGACTCTTTTTGGTATCCTCTGTCTAATTTGGGATCAGGGTAGTACTAGCTTCATAAAACATACTGGGAAGTGTTTTTCATTTTTGGTTTCCTGGAAAAGACGGTGTAGAATTGGCATTAACTGTTCTTTAAACATGTGGTATAGTTTTCTAGTGAAACCATCTGGCCCCACAGAGATAGTCTAGAAAAATCTTAACTGACAAGTGCATTTTCCTCAGGACTGATGGGTGATGGCGGTGTGCTTTCTGAAGAGCTGTCTGGGGAACTGGGGCTGCTGCTGGTGTCACCTTGCCATCCAGGCCTGCGAGATCTGCTCGCCCAGCCCCTGCCATTCCAGGTGCTGATGCTGTGTCTTCTGAACCCTTCCATCAACGTCCGCTTGGGTTGCTCTGTAGTCCTCTGTGTTCGCCTGTCGCAGGCTGTGCAGTGGGTGGAGCGGGTGCCCCAGACGCCGAGTCCGGGCTCTCCGACAGGCGCAGCTCTCAGGTGTCAGTCTCCCCAGTTTTCCTCGGCCCATGTCCTGCGACTGTCTTCCCCTTACTACACTGCATGATTGTTTTACACAATCCCTCTGTGTGTGTGTAACAAAACCAACCTGTTATGTCCCTAAGACATGATCCGAGCATTCAAGAGAAGGAAGGTCACAGATTTTTGCTTGGCTTGTCTTTCCTTTCTGATAGAGACTCCTTTTATTATTTCCCCCCTGCTTTTGCATGTGTATGTGCGTGCACACACACGGGTGTGCATGCACTAGTACTGGGGTTTGAACTCAGGGCCTTGGTGATGTCTTTAGCTTTTTCACTTAAGGCTGTCACTCTACCACTTGAGCCACAGCTTCACTTGTGGCTTTTTGGCGGTTGATTGGATATAAGAGTCTCACAATCTTTCTTGCTTGGGCTGGCTTCGAACCCTGATTCTCAGATCTCAGCCTTCTGAATAGTTAGTCTTGGCGATTTCTTTGTGTGGGATGCAGTGTTCAGCTACTGCCTTCTCTAGCATAGATCCCCTGCCCTGCCCTGTCCTGCCCACCTTCCCCTGCCCTGCCCTGCCC